ATGTCTCTCTTAGGGTCCTCATTGTTGTTTAGGTTCTCTGGGATTGTGACTTGCAGGCTGGTTTTCTTTGCTTTATGTTTAAAACTCACTTTTGAGTGAGAATATAAGATAATTGCCTTGCTAGGTGTGAGTTACCTCACTCAATATGATGTTTTCTAGATTTATCCATTTGCCTACAAATTTCAAGATGTCATTATTTTTTTCTGCTGTGTAGTACTCCATTGTGTAAATGTACCACATTTTCCTTATCCATTCTTCAGTAGAGGGGCATTTAGGTTGTTTCCAGGTTGTAAAGCTAAGGCCATGGTCAACAAGACAATTTAAACTCTTATTATGTTATGTACTCACTCATAAGTGGATACTAAATATAAACAAAGGATATTGAGGCTATAGTTCATGATCCTACAGAAGCAAAGTAACAAGGTGAAGCCTAAGAAAAACATATAGATCTACCTGGAAAGTTGAAATAGACAAGATCGCCTGACAAAATTGGGAGCATAGGGGTGGGGAGAAGGGAGGGTGGAAGGGGAACAGAAGGGAAGAAGGGGAAGGGGGAGGAGAACTTGAAGGAATGGGATAGTCAACATGGAGGAAGGACAGAGATGAGAGCAAATAAAGAGATATCTTGATTGAAGGAGCCATTTTAGGGTTAGCAAAAAACCGGGCTCTAAAGAGTTTCCCAGGAATCCACAAAGGTGGTCCCAGCTAAGACCGTACTAAACAATAGAGGAGAGGATGCTCAAACTGACCTTGCCCTGTAGCCACACTAATGAATATCTTAAATATCACCATAGAACCTTCATCCAGCAACTGATGGAAGCAGAGGCAGAGACCTGCATCCCAGCACTGGACTGAGCTCCCAAAGTCCAGTTGAAGAGTGGGAGAAATGAGAATATAAGCAAAAAGATCAAGATCATGATGGGTACACCCACTGAAACAGTCTATCCGAGCTAATGGGAGCTCACCAGCACTAGTCAGACTGGGAAGGAGCAAGCATAGTTCCAAACTAGTCCTTCTTAATGTTGGTTACGGTTGCATGGGTGGGGCAGACTGAGCGGCCACTGTCAGTGACAGCAGGATTTATCCTTTCTGCTTGTACTGGCTTTTTTAGAACCTATTCTCTTTGGATGGACACCTTGCTCAACCTAGATATAATAGAACAAAATCTATTATATACGTGTATGAAATGTCTAAAGGAAACAAGTATAATCAATAAAAAAGAAAATTTAAGCTCATATTTTAAAAAATAATTTAGTTATCTCTATAACAAAATCACCTTGAAAGTATAGAGAAAGGCTTAAATGCTATTGGTTATTCAGTTGAATCATAGAGCTTGATTTCTACTGTGTTGTTCATTAATTAATTAATTTCGATATCTAGCACTCTAGCCATCGTGTTCATCCCAAAACCGCTGCTCCCTTAGCAGTCATTCATCTTGCATCATATTCCCTGTAATGCTTTACAATCCCATCCCAAAGAATTTCTGGAGTTTCTTGTACTTTTACATTATGATTTAATAATCCACATCTATCGCTGAGTACCTGCTGCTATTGCCTTACAACTTTTCTGATAATATTTTCTCAACTTGTTTAACTAGTTTATGACGTTCCCCTTGAGAACTTAATATTCCTTGTGAAATATCCTTTTTTTTTACATTTCAATATTTGCTTTTATTAGCAAACCACTCATAACTCGAAAAATCATAATTGACTTCCGAGCCTCCTAATTCATCACAGTTCCCTCTCCTAATCACCCATTAGATTTCTTTGCATTAATTTTATCCATTAGATCACTGTACCTCAAGTTCAGTGTACCATAACTAAACTGATGTTCTTCCCAATCCTAAGAAATCTGATTTTCTTCTTGTCACCTTGTATCTCAATTCTTGGGTACTGAAATGATGGGTACCCTTATGACTTCTTTAGGAATGTTAAATCTGAGCTGATGCCTTCTGAGATACAAAGCAGAACTGTTCTCTATGCTTTACTATAACATCTGATGCTCTTTCTGTTTTCTTATTATACCCACAGCTTTTAGATTCACCTCTCTTCTTTCTCATCAAATGATAATTTATCTTCCTAAAGCTTCCAATAGCTCTTAACCTCCTTGTATGTTAATCTCTAACAGCTTTTTCATAGATTTAGAATTTTCTTAAAATCTGTTTGAAATTGGCTTCATTGATATTAATACTTCTCTACTGAGTTATGAGCTGCACTGTCATTGAGACATTCAAGATCTAGGAATGTTGAGGTAAATCTTTATTTTTAAATTCTCTCTTGCTACTCTGCTGCACTTTATATTTGGCAAAAAGCCAGGATCAAAAGCAAAAGGAATTTCTCATTGATCTATACCCTCAACTATTTTATCAATTACATGACCTCTGCTCTTGTACAATGTTCATGAGTATGGTACGCCATGTATTAATTATTGTGACTTTATAACATTGTTTAGTTTTAAGCTGGTCAAGGGCAAAGATGACAAAATCGCATTCACTCCCTACTAAAGTGAGAACCAACTGAAAATCTTCAATAACTTTGTTTTAAATTGACCTAAAATTGCCATATAACACATATAATATATTATCATTCATATATCATAAATCTAATGTACTCTGCATAAGTCACAAGCACTTTACTACATGAACATGTTGTCCTTTAAGATATGTGCATTTGCATATATATTTATGCAAATAAAAACTTAATGGCTGAGTAGATATTTAAAAATTATCTTTTATAATCATTGAACCAGGTACTCTCTGAGGCCACCGTAATGGACATCATGCTGTTGACAGTTCAAGCTCCTTCCCCAGATCTTTATTCAGTGAAAACTCCACCTACATGATGTCATATTTCATGATACTTCCTGTAAACAGTTGAAAGAACAAGTTCCCCTGATTGGAGCAGATGTACTCAACTTTTCTATCCTCCTCTCCCATTTCCTTTATTCCTACCTTTCTCTTGCTTCATTTCTCGTTTAAACCAAATTTATTTGCTTGCTTTTCATCAAAGATAGACATGATTCTATCACCTCTGTATTTTTGGTTACTCTTTTCCTCTACAAAAGTCCTTGTTCCTCTGAGAACTATTCTCAACTCATTTCAGACCTAGTAACATCTCCCTTTCTCTAAGTGGGTTAAAAAAAAAAAGAAAGAAGAAAGGAAATATTATTTTGTCCAGCAGGTTAAATTCTCCATTATTTTCCATCAAACTGGAAATCACTGTGGGAAAAAAAAACAGTAACACCATCCTCATCCTCTTGCTTGCACAAAACTTGGCAATGCACGAGTTAGTTTTTCACAACCCACTTGCTTTTACCATTGCATATGTGGGCAATCAAAAGAAATGCTGTCAAACTGTAGGCAGCTGAGGAAGCAGAGGTCAAAAGTCAAGCAAACTATTCATAGGGCAAGATAGAGCTGAACCTGGCACTGGTCTCCATCCCCTTGATCCCGAGTGTTTCCTTCTATTTTAAACTGTTAATTGGCTTGTGTTCCTGCTTTGACATAAATGTTGGCATATATTGGCACCCGAAAGGCAGCACAGTACATGTTGAATACACTCCCTTTCATCTGAATTACTACTTGGCTCATGTTCCTTTGATAGTACAAATTTCAACTAGCCCAGCACTTTTGCCCAATACTTATCTGAGAAGCCTGTTCTAAATACTACCAATTACTACCAGTTTAGGAAAAATAAATAAAACTCCTAATTCTTTGTTTAAAAACCAAAGGAATTAATTTGATTTTATCTGCATTCACCCACCAGTTGGTTTCAAAGGGTTAATAAGAATGATTTTGCTTTAACTAGCCTGTGTCCACATTTATGCATTTATGCATGTGGACACAGGCTAGTCAAAGCAAAATCATCTAATATTCCAAGGTAAAGTGTATTTTATCTTTAAGTCAGTTTTGTTTAGTTCCCTCACTACGTTGTTTGGATATGTGGTCCTTCTTTAAACGTTCAGTCATCAGTGTGATTCTGGTGTAAATTGATCTGCCTCCTCAGCAGGGCTTAGAAGGACTGAAGCCTGAAAGGAGACCCTACTTTGAGATTTAGACACCTTTTCTTTTGCCTCATCCCACTCAATATTTAGGAAACGCTCAGAAACTCTCAAGTCATCCTCAGCCCTCAGCAAGGAGAATACCTCCTCCACTTTCTTCCTGTGAGTGTATGAAGTCTCAGGCAGGCTCGGGAATTCCATCTCCCATAGCGGACAGAGAGCATCCACCCACCCCGCAGAGAGGGGAGCCTGAAGCCCTCAGGTTTTGTTGTTTGTCTGAGGATTCCTGCCTCTACAGAGCTTTCTTTTCAGGGAGAGTCTTAGGAGCAGTGAGTTGCTGCCTTTCTTGTCTGGTCGAAAAACAAAGCGAAAAAAACTTCTTTCTGGGAAGGAAAAGTTTCAAAACCCACATGCTAATCACTCCACACTGTAAAAACGATTTTAACACACTCATTATAAATTGCGCTATCCAGTCTTCCCTAAGGGTCCCTAGGAGCCTCCCTTGCTTCTTACTGTTCGATCTGTCCTCACAGGGTGTCCCCGAGTGTCCCACACACCACAAATATACACTTAAGAAATATAACTCTGCCCCCTCACATATAACAGCAGTAAGCATACTGCTTGCCCAAACACGACATAAACATCAGCAAAACTGTTTACTTGTTCTTTGCGAGACTGTCATTTTAGAAAGTCTCAGGCTGGAAACCCAGAGAAGAAAAACACTTCACTTTGTAATGAAAGTACAGCGCTGCCCTCCTTCACTGCCGAGCTGCCAGAGAAACAATCACCCCAGTGACTCACTGTTGCCTCTTAGTTATGTTGTTCTTTCCTGATGGCTTAGGACGTGACCTAATTCGCTTGCAGGAATCATCCTTTTGACCTGAGGATCCCGGCATAAACAGAACCAGCTGGAAGGACAGGGATCCCTCCAGGAGTCCCCAGCTCCCTATCATGGTCCCGGATTTAGAGATGGAGGAAAAGGGCAACTCTGTCCCACTTACCAGTCCTCCACAGATAGAGGGTGGGCACCTCGGCGTCTCCCTGCGCCTCAGCCCCGCGGGCGCCGGAGCTCAGCAAGAGCAGCAAAAGCAGTGGCAGCCGCAGCAGCTGCAGGACGCCCCGGCTCGGGGACGCTAGGCGCCCGGCTCGCAGCCCCATGCTGTCCGCAGCCGCTCCAGCCTCTGGAGCCGTAGTACTCTCGCGGGGAACCGTCCTTCCTTCTCCACCAGAAGAAAACGCAAAAGCTTTCTCCGCTGCTATTGTTCGCTCCAGATGAAAAGCAGCCAAAGAGCAACTAACACTAGGGAACAATAGCATCCGCGGCGCCCGTGGACGCCACCGCCGCCGCCGCTGGCGGGGATGCTGGCAGGGATGCTGCCGCCGCTGCCATGGCGCGCAGACTGGCAGGTCCTAGCGGCAAGGGACACAGACGGCCGCAGGGGGCCCCAGCTGGCCGAGCCGGCCCAGAGCTCTGCGAGGAGCAGCCCCCGCCGCCAGCTGTAGGGAGGGGAGGGGGGCGAGAACCGAAAGGAACCGAGGGGACCCGAGGGGACCACAGACGCGGGGCAGCGAGGGCACAGGGCCAGCACCCAGACTCCACGCGCCCGCCCCGAGAACTCCCTGGCACATGGTGCGCTGAAATATGTTCGCAAGGATACACCAATAAAAGGAATCATCTCGGGGCAGGCTTCAGGATGACGAATAACTGACATTGAAATTCATCGTCACCCAAGGAGTCAAATGCTGATCTAGTGGCGTGTTATTCTCCCTGCATATTTACACAAAGCATCAGCGTTGGTCATTTATTCTGAAGCCGTACCTTCCGAATCACTTTATGAGAGGAGCAGTATTATGAATCTATAAAGGAACAGACTAGTGCTCACTGTCAAAAAGCAACTGAGGACTTTCTAAAGTGTTTATTTTTTTTTAACTTCAGTCCATTCTCAGTTAACAATGTGACCATGGTTAGTCTGTGTCAAATTCAACACATTGTCTTGTCATCCATCGTCTTTGAAAGTGAATTCGTACTTAAGAAGAGTGCGCGATGCCGTCTAATTGCGTGAGTAATAATATGCAGACACTGTTAGCTGGATCCTAGTTCAACCGTGAAGTGAATAAAAGTTCCATTCCATCTCTTTCTCTCCTCTCTCTGTTGAAAACACACTAATAAGCAAGTCTCAGAGGTGGGGAGAAAAATTAAAGCACAAATGTGTCAGTAACTGTAGTTGGCTATTTCCCAGTTAATAAATATTTTCACTTACATTTTATTCCTGAGACTAATATCTTCTGATTCTGTTAAAGGTGCTTTCCACAACCAAAATAGGAAACCACATGGCTTGTTCCTTTTGTTCTCTGTTTTCATTTTCTTAGATCAGTGCTAACAGAAGAATGTGAGCAGTCAGATAGAGCTTTGTCCTCCTGCCACAGATTCACAATAACAGTCTTTTATTATTAATTCATTTCCTCATAAAGCTTAAATAATGTCAAGGCAGCTAGCCATTTAAAACAAAGCAAAACAACAACAAAAATGCCCCAGCAACCAAAAGCTAAGGATAACTATTGTCATTTGGTTCCTAATCTCACACTACCTACAATAACATTTGAAAAGCAGAAAACTTCTTTTGGTGACTTTACTCACTGGGATGCAGCCACCCAGGACTCTGAAATGGGAAAGCTACTGTTTCTTAGGGAGGAAGCCTTACATAGTGCTCCCTGGGGAGGCTTATCATTATGCAGAGCTTTCCAGACACAGCCCTTCTGCATGCATTAGATTAAAAGCAGGTTTGATCAAATAATTCCCAGGTCCTGCCTGTTTAAGTATTCTGACATCAGAGGAAATTAGCTGCATTCAGGGTTGCAAATTTGGTCTTTGTTTACTTTTCACTGTGTTAGGCCTCTAAGAGGGAATTAAAAGCTCAGAGAGCCCTGGCCTGTGTCTGTGATTAGAGGCAATAAGCCATTGTGGCTTTCTATTTCTACACTGGTGAAAACGAGGCAATGATCAAAAGATTATAGGTTGATAGGGATACAAAGGAAGCCTGATCCTAACTAATGTATGTTTCCCTGAAGGAGCAAGTCTTTCAACGTTCCCTCTGTCAAAGAAGAAAAAGACCTGCCCTGGCCTCCTGGGTTCTGTTCTCTCAGAATTTCCTCCTCCTTGCAAGGCCACCCTGCAAGGAAGCATCTCCCTACCCCTTCTGGTTGTACTTCTCAGTTGTTGTTCCTGCCCAGCCCTGAAGTGCTATAACCTCAAGCTGCAGGTTTTGTTGTTAATGCCCATTCATGGCATTTTCCATAAGCCCCAAGTCAGTTCACCAGGTGGAGAGAGAGATTCATTGTACAACAGAAGAGGCGTGGAAGGAGGCAAACACAGGAGCTGACGTCCGAGCTCGCTGCCTAGACTTCCTAAAGCCCTCAGAAGTCACACTCTGTAGCTAAATGTCAAATGAAAATTTAAGATTAGATTTTCTTATTTATCCAGGATTGTATAATAATTACTTATCCATACAAGATATTAAACATGACAAGCTATAATGTTAAGGCTAATTTCAAAATGAGAATCTGTTATCATTTAAAATACCTAACTAAGGTTAACACTTGTGCAGAAGTGTCTGAAATTTTTCATCAGTAGGTTCTCCTCTTTTAAATGAAACTTAAATCAAGCTTAGGGGACCCCCCACCACACGTACACATGCAAATGTTCCGTAGTAATGGAAACATCTCTAAATAGTGGTATCGAAACTAAGTCATAAGAACATATGTCTACATCAATGTCACATTCTGTTCATATATTGCCATTACTGCACTTGAGGACAAAAATGCTTGGGTCGCTGAGGAGACAAGGTGATGTATATATTCAGATACACAACTCCTTGAGAAAAAAAAGTACTGCTCACGTGGATTAACTTTATCAATAAACCTGATACATGGCAAGGGATAGCAAGAAATATAGATCTTTGTTTTCTAGAATGATATAAATAATAAACAAATGTTTAATAACACCATGTCAAAATGCAGTTCTGAGACATCTCAAGGATGCAGATTTAAATTGGCCATCTGTACAGCCTGCCATGAAGTAAATCAGTCACCATTTTTCATAAATTGTTCAAGTATTAATGAGCCAGGACAAAAAATGTTTTCCAAACCAACAGAAGATAAATGTAAAACATTTCTAAATGCTAGAAATGGCACAATTCTGACCCTATTCATTATAAGTATGGTATCCTTAATTGCCCTCTGTTATCTTTGCTCTCATTTAAAAGTCATACTGTATAAAGGTATAAAAATTCATACACACACACTCCTGTATGTGGGTATGCATGCATGCACGTGTGAGTGTGTGTGTAAGGCGATACATAAGGCAAATATAAAAATTGCTTATTTGATGATTAAAACTATTTTAATGTAATTTTATGAATATATTTAAATGATGCAATATTGACAGAATTATTTATTGATACAATATTACATAGATAATTATGCAAAATGCTTATTTTGAAATGAAAATATTAAATTAATTTCTCCACATAGTTGCTACTTAAGTCTAATAACAACAATCAAAACTCAAAGGGATTCTATTTATGCATCCTCTAGGTGTCATACTTAACCAAGATTTGTATTCAACAAATTTATTTTAGAATCTTTCCCATCAATCCTCTGCTACACCCATCAAATTACAAAGTAAAAAACATTTCCCATTTGATCTCTGTCTTAAATAGCCATGTATCTTATTTTTCAAATTTGACTCATATTTGTCCTCTATTTCCCTTCCCATTCCTTTTTAGTTACCAACAGAATACTATGTTGGTTTTTTTGATTGGTTGGCTAATCATCTGGTTTCTGATTTGGAGTTTTATTATATTGTAATAAGAGGTAAGATGTTAAATGTTAAGGTTTTACAGAATAATATTGTCATATATTATCCATGTTATTAAAACTAAAGTCTTTTGGAAACAATGGAGATTCTATTTTGTGCATCAGGTGAAAGCACCATGTTTAATTTCAGATGCTTCAACATTGGGGTTAGACTATTTACACATGCTCTTAGACTCAGGGAGTATCCTGTTCTATGTGGTACATAAGGCATCAGCGGTACTTGGCAGAAGATAGCAGTCCATATGTTCGAGTAGTCTACCAATGGTAACTAGGGAGAATGTTTTTAGAGAACGGAGCACTCTGGCTAAACGCAGTGATTTGTATACTTGAGAAACACAGGAGAACAACACACTAAAAGACAACATCACTGATTGTAGTGGCATTTCATTTGTATTTTAATAAATAAAGCTTGCCTAAAGATCAGAAAAGTAAAACAGCCCTACTGGTCAGCCTTACAGACCAGGCAGTGGTGACACTCACCCTAATCCTAGTAGCTACACTAGTTTGAAATAGAAACCAGAGAGTATATGCCTTTAATTCCAATGGTGCTCACCTTTAATCCCAGTCCTAGACAAGATTATAAAATGGGAGGAGATATATCTCAGTCTCAGTCTCATTTTGAGATTTTTGAAGGCAGGATTATCATTTCAAACTGAGGTAGAAGCAAAACACAATGGTTGGCTGTTTGCTTTTCTGACCTTCTGTAGTAGAAGCTGTGGGCTGCTTTCTGCTGCCCTGCTCCTGGCCACTGGCTAGCTTTACTCAAAATAATTACATGGAAACTGTATTCTTTTAAACACTGCTTGGCCTGTTAGTTCTAGCCTCTTCTTGGCTAACTCTCATATCATGCTTAACCCATTTCTAATAATCTGTGTAGCACCACAAGGTGGTGGCTTACCAGGAAAAATCTTAACCTGCGTCTATCTCAGAGAGGAGAAGCATGGCGACTGCCTGACTCAGCTTTCTTCCTCCCACAATTCTGTTCTGTCTTCCCCACTTACCTATGTTCTGACCTACCAGGCCAAGCATTTTTCTTTATTAATTAACCAATGAAAACAATAGATAGATAGAAACCCTCCTACAAATTTCCCCTTTTTCTGTTTAAACAAAAAAGAAAGGCTTTCATTTTCACATAGTAAAATTACATATAACAAAATAGTTATCAAGCAAGAATTACAGTTACATTATTTATATCTGTTTTATCTTTTATCATAACTAAGGAAAACGATAACTATCTATTTATTCTTCAACTCCATCAAAGACTCCAGAAGAATATAATACTACATAAATAAACAAGTAATAAGCAACTCCAAAACTAGAAATAACAGAGACATCTCGCTGCCTGGACAGTCACCCAAAGTTCCTCTGTACCATTGGGGCATCCATATTCAGCCTACAGGCCCATAGTATCCAGCATATATTTCCTTGAAGCAGGAAATTCCAAAGACAGTTCATTCACTATCTGCTGTGTCCTGCAGAATGTCTCCCAGACGTTTTCATGAATCAGGAACCCAGATAGACCATCTCACCTTTAGGCAAGTTCAGCAGTCCTCTCTCTGTGGGTTCCTTGTGTCCAGTTTATGCAACAGTCCAGGCAAAGCAGTTCTTGCCCAAATGGCTGTCAAACTCCATAAATAGCCTCTTCGATGCCCATCTTCCTCTTGAAGTAGATTTGTGCTGCCAGGAGCAGACATGTCTCATTGTCATGAAAAGCCCTAAGTTATTAAAACA